AACTATAAAAGAGAACTATAGACCGATCTCCCTAATGAACACAGATGCAAAAATCCTCAATAAAATATTGGCAAATAGGATCCAGCAAATCATCAAGAAGATTATACACCATGACCAGGTGGGATTCATCCCAGGAATGCAAGGATGGTTCAACATACGCAAATCAATAAATGTAATCCACCATATCAATAAAGCCAAAAATAAGAATCACATGATCATCTCTATAGATGCAGAAAAAGCCTTCGATAAGGTCCAACACTTATTCATGATAAGAACTTTACAGAAAATTGGAATAAATGGTCTTTACCTCAATATAATAAAGGCCATTTATGACAAACCAACAGCCAGCATCATACTAAATGGCCAAAAATTGAAAGCCTTTACTTTAAAATCGGGTACAAGACAAGGATGTCCTTTATCACCACTCCTATTTAATATAGTACTGGAAGTACTAGCCAGAGCAATTAGGCAAGAAAGAGAAATAAAAGGGGTAAAGATAGGAAAAGAAGAAGTTAAATTATCATTGTTTGCAGATGACATGATACTCTACATAGAAGACCCCCTAAACTCCATTGAAATACTCTTAGATACAATAAATAAATTCAGTAATGTGGCTGGATACAAAATCAATACTCAGAAATCAATAGCATTCCTATACACGAACAACAAAATTACAGAGAGGGAAATAAGAGAAACTGGACTATTCACATTAGCAAGCAAAAAAATGAAATATTTAGGAATTACTCTTACGAAAGAAGTGAAAGACTTATACAGTGAAAATTATAATACACTGAAAAAGGAAATTGAAGATGATCTCAGAAAATGGAAGACATCCCTTGCTCATGGATAGGAAGAACAAACATTGTGAAAATGGCCATTCTCCCAAAACTGTTATACAGATTCAATGCAATCCCAATAGAAATACCATCAACATACCTTATAGATCTAGAGAAATCACTCCTAAATTTCATCTGGAACCAGAAGAGACCTAGAATCGCAAAGGCAATTCTAAGCAGCAAAGACAAAGCAGGAGGCATCACAATCCCTGACTTGAAGTTATACTACAAAGCAACAGTAGTAAAATCAACATGGTATTGGAATCAAAACAGAGCTGAAGATCAGTGGAATAGATTAGAAGATACAACCACAACTACGAACACACTCAACCACCTTATTTTTGATAAAGGAGCCAAGCAGGTTCACTGGAAGAACGACAGTCTCTTTAATAAATGGTGCTGGAAAAACTGGCTCTCCATTTGCCGAAAACTAAAGCTAGACCCATGTCTATCACCATGTACTAAATTAAAATGTAAATGGGTCAAAGATCTGAATATTAAAACAGAAACACTAAATCTATTGGAAGACAAAATAGGTAGAAACCTTGGAGACATAGGAGTAGGTAAAGAATTCATGAACAGGACTCAAACCGCATGGGAAATACTTCCCAGAATCAATAACTGGGACCACTTCTTATTAAAAAGTTTCTGCATGTCAAAAGAAATCTCCAGCATAGTGAAAAGAAAACCCACAAACTGGGAAAAGATTTTAGTGAACTCTCTCTCAGACAAGGGCCTCTTGTCTAAAACATACAAAGAATTAAAGAAACTCAGACCTCCGAAATTCAAAGATCCAATCCAAAAATGGGCACCTGAGATGAATATGCAATTCTCAGATGAAGAAATGCAAATGGCAAATAAATACATGGAAAAATGCTCATCATCATTGGTCATTAGAGAAATGCAAATTAAAACCACACTGAGATACCATCTCACTCCTGAAAGAATGGCCAGGATCAAGAAAACCGACAACAAATGCTGGAGAGGCTGTGGGGAAAAAGGAACTCTCCTGCACTGCTGGTGGGAGTGTAGACTGGTACAGCCTTTGTGGAGATCTGTCTGGAGATTTCTCAAAAAGTTGGGACTGGAAATCCCATTTATTCCAGCTATTCCACTTCTAGGCATATTCCCAGAAGAACTGAAAGCATCATACCACAGTGATATATGTGCACCTATGTTTATAGCAGCACAATTTGTAATCGCCAGATCTTGGAAACAACCCAAGTGCCCATCAACTGAGGAATGGATAAAAAAGTTGTGGTATTTCTATACAATGGAGTATTATTCAGCTATAAAGAAGGATCACATTGAGATATTTATCAATAAATGGGCACAGCTTGAGACCATACTCATAAGTGAAATAAATCAATCTCGCATGTGTGAATACCGAATAGTTTCCCTAATGTAAGTAATGATTCAAATATATAAAAATATGTGGTAATCATGATTCCCCATTAGGTGGCCTTGAAGCCTTATAAAGTTTTCACTCATTAATTAGAAAGGCTTTATTCTGGGCTTCTTGATAGGAAAATATTTGAAGCTAGAGTATATGAAGTTTTACCCAAATATTTCAAGGAAAAAGACACTATGGTAACTACTATTAAGTCAGGTTATAAGGTGGTGAAGTACTAGGTTATTTAAACAGTCATGCTGTGACCTCTATTGTTATATTGTTATGTCCTGTTTTATCTCAATCTCCCCCTTATTGTTTAAAAAAAATTATTTAGTCATTTCTTATGTTTGTCTTAATTAAAGAAAAATTTCAAAAAAATTAGGATATATAAATAGTAACTCTTTTCGATTTCCTATTAACTTGTTTTGAAGTCCTGTAGTACTCCCATGATCTTGTTTTGACTGATTAGACTCTGTTCCATTCTATATGATAGTATCAAGTTTGAAGACATAGGCAACTACTTTGAAGACAATAAGATTCACTAAGATACCCATTCTGGTTTGACTATTGTCTTCTTTGGAAGTCCTGTAATGTTTACAATGCCTAAGTTTTATTGGTCTTGTTCTCTACTGTTTTGTCCAACTTTATAATATCTAATAAGATAGACAATTCTTTTTAAGGAAACAAGGGACAACGTTGATAACCATTGTTGATAAACTTGTACTCTGTTCTACACCATGTGCTACGTCTATCCTTGGTATTGACTGACAGCTTTGTTTTGCCATATTTGACTGTATTCTTCCCCCCCCCAAAGAAAGTAATAAGCACTAAGGAGTAATAAAATCCAAGATGTGTAAATTTTGTTGTAAAAAAGAGAGGGAAAAAAAAAAAGAAAAGGAGCTCTAACGGATATAACAGCAAGTGTGTTTGGGGGTGTTAAATAGCTGACTTTATCAATGTTTTTGGAACATTGAACACAGCTGTTTGCAGTCTCCCTGTTTGAATGTCCACCTTGTGTTCTTTGATACTGTGATTTGAGGAACTATTTTCAAGAAAATAGTGTGTAATCTACTAGCAGGTAATTTCTTACTGTTATGGTTTTTTGTTTTGTTTTGTTTTGTTTTGTTTTGTAGTTCTGTATTGCGTGTACCCTTACGCCGCTTTGGTTTGTTTTGTGTTTTTCTCTTTTTCCTCTTAAAAAAAAAAAAAAAAAAAAAAAAAAGAAATGTGAGCCACCAGTGGGCTGAAATCTCTCACTCCATGTACGGGGCACCTTGCTATTACTGGATATAGGAGTTCTTGATTTGACTTTTCAGGTACACTCATGAGTAAATACAATGTATGATTCTTTTTTGTGTTCTTGCCCAAGGTTTTTGAAAGCCTTAGAGAATAAAGGAATACTGTTGTGTGATCTTACAAATAACAACAGCTATCATGTGTTGTATTCTTCTTCAGTATGGAACCGAGCACTTTGAGAAATGTCTTATATAAACCATCAATTCTGACCCAGACAAAGCCTGTGAAATACACATTATCATTCCTCATTTTATAGCTGAGGAACTCATGAGTAAGCAAAAATGAAATATTGCCTAAGGTCCTGTAACTGTAAACAAAGCCAGCTTTCACTCAGTGCTTTCTGCCTTCTTCCTTATAAATTGATCAAAACAGGGTGGCAAAGTTAGACTGCCTTGAGGAGTGGAAAAATCACATTGTAAGAGTTTTGTTTTATAAGAAGGAATATCAATTGAATAAATCAGCTTTTTTTCTTTTTGTGATGGATAAAAAAGCATTTGTTTGGATTCTTTTGACAGTATAAATAGCAGCGCTAGCTATATACTTACTGGGTTGGACAGTAAATAACTTACTGTATTTGGAGTTGCTCTAGATTTAGAAGTTAGTTAAAATTACAGCCAAAAGTAGCATCCTAGAGACGCACAGGTACGTGTACTGGGTAAGGGAGGTTCCGCCGGCCTGTATGGCTCAAAACAAAGTAATGCCACAAAAGCAAGAGGAGAAAAAAGTCTTTCTGTGCCTGCTGCAAAAGGCCAGAAAATCTCAGGTCCATTTGGGGCCTGATGAGGTTTGTCTGACTGATAGCACTTGATTTAACCCTGACCACGACTGTAAAGGAAGTGGAATAGCAGTGACACAGAACAAATGGAACTTAGGAGACAGTCTTGCCTGAGTCTTTATTCCCTGTGCTCTCTATGTCAGTATTGAAGTTTCATTCAACACGCACCTCATCCATTCAGCTTTTGCTGAATTACAGTTCTTTTTAAATTATATACAGATAAATATGAATTTTGTGTGCATTTAGTTTGAAAGATTTTCTTCCTAAAATACAAGATAGATGTAACAACACACCTTGAGGTGGGTAATTTGTAAATAACAAAAGTTACTGTTCACTGTTCTAGAGGCTATGAAGTTCAAGGTCAAGGTACCAGCAGGTTCAGTGTGTGGTGAGGGCCAGTTATTCATAGATGGGACTTTCTATGTCCTTACATGGCGGAGGAGCCAGGGAACTCTTTCGGCATCTTCTATAAGGGTCCCATTCATGAGGGTGGAGCCCTCACAATAATCACTTTCCAAAGCCCACCTCTTAATACCATTTCATTATTAGTGTCCAATTTTGAAGGGGCATCAATATTCAGACTGTAACAGTAATAAAAGTATATGAGCATTATGAACTGGACTCTGTTTACTTCATTAAACCAACAGATAAAATACAAATGTTTTTCATAGATCTAACAGTAGGCTTTTGCATCTTTCAGGGCCTGTAATTCAGTGTTTACAGCATTAGACCACTGTCATGAAGCCATAGAAATAACAAGTGATGACCACGTGATTCAGGTATGAAAAGAAACACTCTGTGTCATTAGATATCTCAGTAGAATCTTTCAAGTTTGAGCTATCCTGTGTCAAGTACTTTCCCATAATCCTCATATATCAGCACATTTTCTTTGAAGAAAGGAAAATCAAAGTATGCAAAGAATATTGATAGGCTTAGATTAAGAATAAGATATTCAGTAAAGAATAAAAATTATTAATTCAGATTAGAACCTGTGATTTCCTTGACAGAGATGTGGTAAATTCTTTGGACCATTGGTCAAGACAGTACCTATACAGAAGTAAATCAGATCTGGAGAACAAATACTTACAAATGTCTATAGAAACAGAATGTTTTCAAAGGCACACATTCATTTGCCTGTGGTTGATGTCTAATTATAAGTATCTAAGTATTATACTAATGTCATCTCCCTAAAGAAATCTGTATATTAGACAAACCTTTGTTGAAATGAGGTTTTATTTTAACTGCTGGAGAACAAAATATCTACATTTAAAAATACTCTGCACTATTTGGTGTTGGCCTGCCTGCATCAGATTTATAGACCTGGTTAGGATTCTACCCCCTCCACATACATATTTTGTCTTGTGTAATGCCCCAGGGGACCCATTCGGTGACAGTAGGAAGGGGCCATGACTGGCTGAGAGCCCAGGTGAGGTCTGTGGTCCAGCAAGGTCGAGGAATTTTCCAAGGAAGCCCTAGTAATAAGCACTGAAACCAACACACAACTGGGTTTCTGACTCTAGAACTTTCCTGCTTGGTTCTTTTTGTCTATATTTTTAGACTGTTTTCCTTGCTACTCCTTGGAATGGATCTGCATCTGTGTTTGATGCCAGCTGTTACTGGCCTGTTTTAGTAACCTTTGGCCCACAGAGGTGGCCAGGACATCCCTGTTACAGACCAAGCCCTTGTGTCAGTTCTGATTAGGAAACATGCATGCTTTTGCACCACCCTACTCTGCTGTGGACAACTAGATTGTGACTTCAGTGATGTCACACTAATATCAGGGTTGCCTGCCTTTACCTGCCTTTTCTGCTTGAGCAGGGAACTGAGTCCTTCATCCTAAAATAAGCAACTGGTAGTCAGCAAACCCTGGCCCCCATGGGAGGTACCCTGGTGATGTGCACATTGTGACATAAAACAACTCTTGACCTCTACACTGGCAGAAAGAACCAGGGGCTTGAGGACAGCCAGTGTCTATAAAGGGGACATGGAGGGATCTCCTTGCTTCAAAATGTTTCTGAGTAAGACAGGGAAATCTTATCCTGAGCTACTCTGTGCTACTGTTAAAGATACACCAGCAATCTGAAGTGTAAATCTCAAAGTAAGAGAAAGTAAGGAGAAGCTGAACATATAGTGTGACATGGGAGGGAACACTAAAATGATCTTGCACTAAGGTCTCGAGGGTGAGTCATGTTGGACAGTATGTTTTGTATATGCTCATGATTGACATTGGTGTCTTTCATAGAGTGCACAGCTAAATAGCTGGTGCCTCCTTGTGAGTACAGCTCTTCAGAGGCTAGGTTGTAGCACTTAAAAGAGTAGTATCAGTTATCTGTCTCTTCCTGTCTCTCTCCTTCCATTTATCTAAGCTAGATTTGCTTTAAATATTTGTGAATCTTAACCTTGTACCGGGCACAGTTCTGAGCAATATATATTCATTTATTCCTTAAGACATTTCTGTGAGCCAGGTACTACTGTTATGCCCATTTGACAGTTGAGAAAGGGGCTGGGGATTTAGCTCAGCGGCATAAGCGCCTGCCTTTCAAGCAGGCAGTCGTGAGTTCAATCCCTAGTACCGATAAAAAAAAAGAAAGAAAAAGGAAAAGACAGTTGAGAAGCCCTAGGACCTGGGAAGTTAAGTGATTTGCCTGTGGTTCTACAGCCTGTCACAGGCAGAGCCAGTGTTTGAATTTGGTTCTGGGACTCTGGTGTACCTGCTGTATTCTGATCCTGATTGAAAAAAGGGCTGTGAGTGCTACAACCACACGTATGAAAATGTGAAAGACTGTAGCCAACAAATAAGGAAACAGCACATCCTCTGTTCACTCATCAGATATGTACCAAACAGCCCTGATTACCCGAACATAACTCCGAAATGGCCTTGGCCCCAGAGGATTTTCATGCAGCATTTAATGGGAGAGAGCTGTAAAGAGCTTATCCCATGTAATGGAATTAAGTTGCTAGAAGTCAGCACGGGACTTGTGGGAAGCTCTTGGGACAGGCACTAGCTCAGACTGGCCAGAGGTCCAAGAGGGCTTCCTAGAGGAAGAGAGGGACATTTTGGTGCTGAGTTGGTGAGGCAGGGATGAAGAAAGGCGCTCAAGTCAGACAGCCCATGCAGGAGGCCTAGAAGAGAAGGAAGTCAAAGCCGGCAGGAATTGGTGCAGGGCACCAAGCTGGCCTGATGTGCAGGGGTGGGCTCAGTTGTGATCTACCCTGCTCAGGGGCAGCCTCCTCTCCAGCCACTCCCATGGTTCTCATGGCTGGAGCGTCTGTCTGAGCCCTTGACCCTGGAGTGAGGGGTGTGAGTCAGAGGCATTCCCCAGGCAGCATCTCCCTTAGGGCTCTCCTGTTGCCCAGTTCATGACCACTGTCCTCTCAGCCCTGGTAGGTATGGCTGTGAAGCTGCAGATGCCTGGAAACTGAGCCCAAAGAAAACCATAACCCAGCTTCAGGGGCTCCCATTCCCATACTCTGCACCCCTTGCCCCCAGCACCTGTTCTTACCTGGTAATCACGGACAGCCTCGGACAGAGATCAGTGGATGGGACCCAGCTTAGCTAAGACCCTAGCTCTAAATGCCAGCTCCCCAAGAGGCTTCCAGGGCACCAGCTGATTCTTCTCTACCTGATGCCTGCCCCACTCCAGAGGGCTGCCTCCCAGCACGATTACCTGTGCTTGCTCAGATTAGCCCAGAAGTGACCCCAACCATGGCACTAGCAGATTGTGGCCAGGAGATGTGGGGTCAGACTTTTGCCTTGCACAGATGTGTGTGCTGAGCTCTATTGTACTAATTTGTTTTGTAGTGCTGGGCAAGCATTGTACCATGAAGCTGCCTTTGTGTTTGTTTTCTTCTGAGATTTTCCTGATTTCATAGGGCAGCAGATGGTGAATGAGGCTCACTGGAGCCTGGGGCTGTTCAGTGAGGACTGCCTGCCCTTTCTCACTGAACAGTTTCTTCCAGTTTCCTGCAGGAAACAGGTCCAGCAGCCAAATGAATAATCACCACCCAGGAGCAAGACCTGTACTCTGGGGGGTCAGGGACACTGCAGGGCCAATGATGCCTGCATTAGAGAGCTGCTATCCAGGGAACCTCTTGCTTGGTGCCCCTGTGTCCCACCAAGTGTCCTTGTGGATGCTGACATGTGCCCTCCTCCCCTCTCCCAACAGTATGTCAACCCAGCCTTCGAGAGGATGATGGGCTACCACAAAGGGGAGCTCCTGGGGAAAGAACTCGCTGAGCTGCCCAAGAGTGACAAGAACCGGGCAGACCTTCTTGACACCATCAATACGTGCATCAAGAAGGGAAAGGTGAGTGAGCTGATGAGACCAGTCCACATTCCACACCTGGGGAGTGTTTATGTCTGTCCTTAAGAGTGGCTTCTTTAATAATAGTGCAGTTCAGCAGGAGATATCCAATGTCTGCAGAAGGAGCATCTGTGAGTGTGGGATCTTAGGTTAGTGCAATGCCTGTGATGATGCAGGATACTATTTTGTGAAAGAGCCCTGAGCCCCCCAGATGAGTATGTCCTGTGTCATGCTGGAATATTGCACCTGCATCTGAGCAGGGTCTACCCTGAGAGCTACTTGTGTTTGCAGTGCAGCAGTGTGTGAGGGACTAGGAGAACTTAGTGTCAGTACTGACAGGGGCTCTCGGTTTCTGCTTAGGTGTCCTTTTCTGCTGTGTGTATCCATTGCTGTTCAGTCTTCATGGGGAGCTGTGTCCCACCCTACCTGTTCCCTGGGTGGCTTGCATTTGGTCCCTTGCATTTGGGAAAGTGGGAGGGGCTTCTTCTCCAGCCCAGTTCTCTGGAGGAAAGCATTCCAGATGCTGCCTGGTTCTGTTCCTTCTCCCTTCCATTAGCGATCGTCCAGCAGTTTGCTGACCACTATCTTGAGTGGCTACGGGCCATTTTATAGGGAAAGTTTGGATTACAGATGATGTCTAAAATTAATTGTTTTAACAGCTTGAAAAGGAAGCAGAAGATTTGTAAATTACTCTCAAGAATTTTGCCCAGTGAATTCAACCACACTTAAATTGGCAGCAGGGAGCATACTTATTAGCTACCTCCTGGAGGAGGGGGCCTCAGTTCCTGGCTTCATCACTCTGACCTCGAAACAGTGCAGTGCTGGGGCTCCTAGGGCTCACCTGCTCCTTCTCCCTACTGAACACCCCCCACCCCCACCCCAGGTCCAGAGACTATAAATAGTGAGGAGCCAGAGTAACCCTGGGGGAACCTGAACTGGGGGGCTTAGGGAGAGGTGAAGAGGTGCAAAGTTATAACCAGCCTCTCTCTGTTTCCTAATGTGGGTCAGTCACTTGAGTAAGCCTCAGTTTACCTATCTGTAAATTAAGGATGATGACAGCAAGCTCACCATGTGTGAAGGTCTCAGGGAAGACTTCTCAGACTTGGCACTGTGGCACCAGTGGGGCTGAGGAATTTCAGCCCTGGTTACTATCCTGGCTCCCAGAACAGGCAGCCTGGCAGTGGACATGTTGGTCTCTGTTTTGTCTTTGTACGTAGTGACAATGTCAGTGTTGCATGAGTGCAGTGATCCAACAGAATTTGTAAAAATGTCACAGAGGTTATGGGCACTTTCTTATTTAGCCTGTGAGGGCCCTCTCAGCTGTGTGCTTTGACAAAAGGATTTCAAGAGCTGTCTTTGTTCATGTAGGAGTGGCAGGGAGTTTACTATGCCCGACGAAAGTCTGGGGACAGCATCCAGCAGCACGTGAAGATCACCCCAGTGATTGGCCAAGGAGGGTGAGAGCTAACTCTTCTGCTCTTCCATTGCCACTGAGTACATGGGCCTGGTGGGCATTGACTTGGCACTTTGGAATGCTAAGGTGAGATCAGGTCCACACAGGATGGGGACTATGCCATCTGCGGTAGGTTACTGAGGGCCTCTCTGCCCAGGCAGCTGCAGCCCCCGTGTTCCTGCAGCCCCCATGCTCCTGCTCCAAGTCTCTCACAGAGCCTCAGCCCACACCCCAGCTTCTCAGCCTACACATTACATGCGACCCTACCACTCCCAAGACCCAGGACAAGGGACGTGCTGAGGGCCTTGACTGCAGGGGTTTCAGATGGTGTGAAGACACCTGTTTATTTGTGGAGAGAAATCTGAAGTTGTTCTTCCTTCTCCCAGTTCACTTGTCAGAAGGTTCCCAAAGCCCAGCAGGACCCCCAAGATCACCTGGCTGATGAGCTTTGTCAGTGAGTCCAGAGGTCAACACAGCATGAGAGTTTTGGTCTACAAGGAACACGTAACATGGGACATTTAAACAAGCAAGCAAACAAATGAACACAAAAAATATAGCAATGTTTATGCCAAGAACCAGAACCAAGGGAGTCTTACTTATGATGCTCAGGTCTGTCTGAGTTCCTTGAAACTTGTATGATCAGAAAACTCAACATCCCCAAAATCACAGGCTGTTGGTAGAAGGTTTGGCCTTCAGTTAGTCTGAGAATTATGCTCTTAGAAATTCAGAGACCACCGATGGCTGTGTGGTGCTGTTTTGTAGTTTGTGTCTCTCCTTGGCCTGGAGGTTGCCGGCACAGATATGTGCCCAACTGATGGTCCCCCTGTATCACAGAGGCTCCCCCAGGCCCTCATCCTGACAGGCATGGGCATGTCCCAGTACTCAGAGCACAGAGCCCCAGGAGAAGCTAACACCCTCAGAGGCCAAGTTGTTTTGTCCTCATACTGAGACTGTCTACTCTAGAAATGAAAGCATAGATTCACTTTGTGTATGTATGTATGTGTGTGTGAATAGAACCTCTGGGTAACCAAAGCAGAAGTAACTTCCTATTACCTAGTAATTTCTGTCAGAATAATTTTTTTTATTTGACAGATGAGGAAAAAATTCTTTTATCCAGATACAATTTCAGCATTATTTCCCCTAATTGTATGCAGTGAGCTATCAGAGGCAAGTCTGATTAAAAATAGGGAAGTTTTACTCCTTCCTGTAGGAGTGGAGCTCATTACAGAATAACCCATACTTTCTATGCTCTTTTTAATATCATCCTGTGAAAAGTGAACCAGAGCGAGATAAAGGAAGAGGATGTCCCATCTCCTTCTGGGACATAGAGTCTATCATAATTTCTGGATTTGATGCCTTTGCTCTCAGTGAAAAATCCCCCAAGTTGATTTTTTCCAAAAGCAGTGGCCCAGGCTATGGTTTGCTAACAGTAAGCAAGGCTGTAGGCTGAGTTTTAGGATGTTGTCTGTGACCTTGAAATAAAAGGATTATTCTTAGCCTGAAAAATAGCAAACAATAACAAAACTTCCATTAGGAGACAACCGTAGTGTGAAATAATGTGAAACATTTAACACACACAAAAAAAGCAACCCTAAAATTTGGATACTGTTTAAATGAGTCTATTGCTTTTCATATAAGCAATAAAAACTACTCATGTCAGCAGAATTAAAACCAGTTGATCTGCAGTAGCATTGCATCCTACTGTTGATGATATCTAGGCCCCGAACTGCAGGAGACAGCTACAAAGAGAACAGCTGAGGAAGGTTTGGGGGCCAGCGATGAGCTGCAGGGACACATGTCCTGTAGGGGTACGGGGCACTCCTATGAGAAGTGTGTTTTTGTGGCTTGAGTTTTGCTTCAATTCTAATTCTACCCTAAGAGAAACCCTGGAGTTTTGCTTTAAGAAGACTATGCTAATGTTTTCATGTGCTGACTTGTTGAATGGTCTCCTGTCTGACTCACTAATCACTGATTATTTATGTTATTAGGAAAATTAGGCATTTTGTGTCACTCAAGAAGCTGTGTTGTACCACTGACCATAACAAGCAGGTACAGTATTGGGCCGTCCCTGTCACTGTCAGTGTGGCCTTGCGTTCCCTTTCCTCTGCTGCTCTCTGCGTGTCCTCCATTGCTCCTTGTCAGCAAAGAAGGTTGATGGGAAAAGCAGACAGTTCCATAGACATTTGTCGCAGTTGTCCCACAAGCCTCTCTCACTGGTTATGCTGGGTCTTGTGGCTCACTCTCCAGCCCAGTCCACTTTATGACAGCATAGAATTCTTCCTCCAAATGATAGTAAGATTCATTCCAAATTAGCATTTCCTACCATGCATCACTTTTGACAAGAAGGGTTCCCCAACCTTTTTGGCTCCAGGGACTCATTTCTCACAAGACGATTTCTTGGTGGGGAGGGGATGGATTCAGGAGACAGAGAGGAGCTCACAACCTGCATGGCTCTTCCACACAGTTCACAGTGGGGTTTGCGCCCCCAGCTTCTATAGGACTGAGTGCCAGTGACAGGACCTGGGCTCTTCAGGGCAGCTGGGGACAGGTCCAGATGGAGAAGCTTCTTGGCTACCCCTCCTCTACCACTTGGCCCAAGGCCCTAACAGTACTGTTTGGTGGCCCAGGGGCTGGGGGGGGGGGTATCCCTAACGTAGAGCAATTCTTTTGAATACTGTCTTCTAAAAGAACATTTTAGTAAGTTACCATGTGTTGGAACTTCTAACCATTGTTTTAAAATAGTAAGCAGTATTAGTAAAGGTCTTTTTTTCTATTTAATTTATACATTTACTACTTGATCATGTGGATTTTCAATTTATACTTCATAATTTGTTGGCTTAAAAGTATGCAACAGGGGCTGAGGATTTAGCTCAGTGGCATAAGTGCCTGTTTTGCAAGCACAAGGTAGTGAGTTTGATACCCAGTACCAAAAAAAAAAAAAAAGTATACAACAACTATAACTAGCAATAATCTAGTTTTGAAAACTATGGCCATTTGCTTTGGTGAAGATTTTAGAAGAACAGACGGTGTCTCTAAGGGATTGCAAGGTTTCTGGGGTGTTATGTGGGATAGGGTCCTGTGAAGTGCAGAGAGAGGGAAGACCTGGCATGAGGGTGCGATCACAGGACCAGAGCCACCAGCCCCCCCAGTGACAGCAACTCTGGAGGGATGACAGGGCCGAATCTAGAGAGCCTGTGGCTGGCCTCTGAGGGCACTGGTGGTATCTAGGGCTCTGTGCTTAAGTATCAGATTTGGTCCAACCTACAATGCTTCCTTCAGCGCTGAGAATTTAATCTAGAATCAGAAAATGCTCAGTTAATACCAGAGAGTCACTCAGGGAGGCAATTTCTTAGAGACCTTCGGGAAAGGAAGGGAATGTATTTCATAGGAAAAAAGATTCTCCCAGCAGCCACACTGAAACAGAGCCAGAAGGAAGACGGGGTCTACAGAAGAGGCAGCACAGCACAGGAGCAGCACAGGCAATCCTGAGGTCTTTGTAGGTGCAGCTGCTGAGCATGAGCAGTGCCAGCTGCCATCTGGGGACTGGGAAGTCACAGGCTAGGCCTAGCCCATAGAGCTCTTTCATTCTTTCGTCAGGACAGCTTGGTCCCAAATCAGGTACCGTTTCCCCACCAATTCAGCCTTAACCCCTCACCCCAGTGTGTGGTACTGCTGCTTGTCTTGTCACCAGTCCCCTTGCAACTCCACATGTCCCAATCTTATCAGTCCTTCAGACGCAGCCGCCCTCCTCGGGCCTCCAAGGTACCTTCTCTGCCTTGTATCACCCCCTAGCTGCTGTCATAGGTATGTGTGTTAAACGCCCTGTCCTCTCCATGGTCTCCATGGCCAGCTGCCTGGCTCATAGAAGGCCCATAGACTGTTGAATGAAATAGGCTCAATCTTGATCCCCTGCCAGTTGTGACTCTTCCTGCCCAGGGAAAGCAGACAAGCCTGAAACTTAGAAAGTAAGGGCCACCACTTGTCCTCTGCAGCTCTAAATAGAAGCAGGCACCTTTACTACTGTGAATCAGTGTTCTTCTGAGCAGTGGAAACGTAGTGCTCGGAGACCCTGAGCCACTGACGTCACCTAATCATGCTGCTGAGGCCTAGAGAGACTTAGATTTTCTAATAATAAAGCATTTTCTCCCTTGGCTGGCTCCAGTGCTGCTGATGCTCAGCAAAGGAAGCTAGAATGTGTGGCTGCGCACTGTCAGCAGCTATTCCAGCTTTGATGGGCTTCAGCTTTCATGTCAGAATCGATTTGTGGGTTTGTATTTTAATGAGGATGGAATTATAAGCCAGGCAGCCAACTTCTGGCTGTGTCTGTCATCAGCAAAGATTTCTTTTCCTCTGCAAGCACTGTAGCTCTTTGCCAAGGGACTGGAAATGTTCAGAGAGGTTTGTTTGCTGCAAACATTGCCCCCTCTCTGCATGCTTCCTCCGAGGTATGAGCCAAACAGCTACTGTAGGCTGGTTCTAGAAGGGCAGAGTCTCTGCTCCAGGAGCCATGGGGTCCACAGACTGGTGAGCAGGTCAAACATAACAGAGCCCAGGGTAGGGTGAGCTGCCCAGCAAGACGAGGGGCTGGTGAAGGAGCATGTAGGATGGATGACCCTGCAGACTGCAGGTCAGAGGTGGGTTGCTCTGTCCATGCAGTGTTCTGGAATATAGCATCCTACTCTGTGGTAGCTTTGACACCCCACAGTAGGACAGAGCCCTCCAGCAAAGACTGTGGCCTGCACAACCTACATCCTACCTTATCTGGCTCTTTGCAGAGGGTGACAACCCTCTTTCTAGATTATAATTTTCCTCCTTGAATTTCCTGCTTTCTGAGGCCCCCAGTATCCCCACTCCAGTCCACACATCCTTTGCATACAAGTCCAAATGCCATCCCAGCCTTGTCTGGATGCCTTTATGCTCCCATTCTGAGGATATGAGAACCATGAAGCTTTTGCCTTTGTACAAGTCAGAATCCAAATGCATGACATGCATCGTGGAATTTCAGGGATCTGCTATCATAGTTCAAGAGTCAGATTTGCATAGGGCCAAGGACCCCAGTGTTATACAAGCTCCTGCCAAGCCTGCCCAGAGCCAGGTCTGGGGAATGGAGCCTCTTCACCAAAGGGGCCTCCTCACTGCTGCCTTAGTCTCATCACACAGGTATCACTGTGCTCACTTCTTCCTCCCAGGCCTGGCTGTGAGGATGGGAGTGCATACCAGCCCCTCAGGCCTGTGTGCTGGTGGCAGGCATGGAGTCCCTGAGAGATAACATGGGAAGTCAGTGAGGAGGAAGCCGGGCTGCAATTGGCAGCATCCTTCAGATGGCCTAGTCCCCCACCTGTGCACAGATGATCCTGGAGGCCAGGCAGAAGCCTTCAGGGGAGTGCAAGTATCTCCTGTCCTGTAAGAGGAAGCAGGTTTGTTGCAAAGTCAGACAGATTCCCATGCATGATCAGCTCTGGGGAAAAAGTCCCTTGTTCCACATCAGCGTTGTACATACAGGAAGAACATGACTGGATTCAGGGAAAGCCCATTGAGGATCCAGAGCACTGGCTGACCGTGCATAAGGCCAGGTTGCCGTCCTGTCACACAGGGCTCTGCAGGGCAGGAGAGTGGCATTGACCTGGGGACTCTGTTGGCCCCACTCTCCCTCATTTCCCAAGCAAAGGTTGTTCAGCCTTGAAAAGTAGCAAGGGTGTGATCTGAGGACTGACACCGTGATGTGCACCTCTGAGGGGTTTTCTACTCATGTCACTTATGTGGGAGTAGTCAGGGTGGAAGTGGGCTGAACTGGCCAAATTTGCAATGATGAAATCTCACTTGGGATACTACTTTTAGGGATCCAGGGATGAATATCTTAGTTTATAATAAGCTATTTTTGTTTTTATTTATTACTACATGTTTGCTGTACATAATTATTTACTTCCCATGAGGAATTGGTACGTGTGTGTAATACATCTTAATCTTTCTTGGTCTCCTACTCCCCACCTCCCCTCATCCTTCCATATTTTGGTCCCCTACTTCCTATTAACTGTCTTTTTTGATTGTTCTTTAATGGTATTGTGGATTTTTCATATAAGAGAAACAATGTGATATTTAATCTTGTGTGACTGATTTATTTCACTTAATGTTATGGCTTCAAGATGCATACTTTTTCCTACAAATGACTTTATCCTATTTTATGACAAAGTAGTCCCTCATTGTATTTACATTCTTTATCCATTCATTTGATGATGGACACTTCTAAGATTTAGCTATTATAAACTATATTGCTATACATGGCTACGATATCTTTAACTCTTTTGGGGAGATGCCTACCAGGGGACTACCTGGGTCAAATGGTATTTAGTTTTAGTTTTCTGAAGAGTCTCCATACTGATTTCCATAGTGGTCATACTAGTTTACCAATGACATGAAGGGTTTCTTTTTCCATGCAGCCCTGCAGGCATTTGTTGTTATTTGATTCTTGCTGATGGCCTTTTTTCTGGAAGATGGAATCTCAGTATTAATTTGAGTTTCTTTAGTGGCCAGAGAGGTTGAACATTTTTCATGTATTTGTTGGACATTTATACTACTTCTGAGAAGTGTCTGTTGCCCATTTTTTATTGGGGTTTTAATTTGGTGGTAGAAGTATTTTTGAGTTCTATGTGTATTCTAGATACTAGTCTTCTTTCTGAGGCATACCAGGCCAAGAATTTTTTCATTCTGTAGGCTGTCTCTTCACTGTGCTGGTTGTTTTCTTTGCTATGCAGAAGCTATTTAATTTGGTATGATCCCACTTCATGATTCTTGATGTTTTGGGGGGTGTTTTTGTTTGTTTATTTTTTGTGCAATTGGGATTCTGTTCAGAAAGTTCTTGCCTAACCTATGTCTTCAAGGGTTTTACTTATTTTTTCTTCCAGATTGTTTCTGTTTTGACACTGGGATCTTTGATCCATTTCTGGACATGTGGGTCTAGATTCAGTCTTCTGCATGTGATAGCCAGTTTTTCTAGTACCATTTATTTTTTCCCCCAGCACCATTTATTAAAGAGGATATTTTTCCTCTAG